TCTGTAACTCTAGTTTCAAAGGATCAAACACCTCTTTGAGTACCAGGCATTCAGCACTGCACAGACACATATGCAGGCTAAACATCTGTACACATAAAATAATAAAGTTTAATTTAAAAACGAAAAAAACAAATTCATAGACTCAGGGCCAGGAGACTTGAGTGCCTAGTGACTCCGGGTTCCTGTCTATTATTCACTTGTACATACCACAAGGTAAGCCGGGACAGAGGCTTGTGAGCGTCCATTGGGTCTGGTAAAAGGCAGGGGTGTGAGAGGTTGAGTTTTGTTCTTTGTTTTTCAAATTAATGTCTCATATAGCCCAGGCTAGCCTCCAGCTTTTTTTTTTCTTTTCTTTTTTTAAAGAATGATCTTGAACTCCTATTCCTCCTGCCTCCTGCCTCCACCTCCTATGTGCTGGGATTACGGGTGTGTACCACCATGCTCATAAAAGACTTAATTTACTGACAACAGTGAAACTCAGTGTCAAATAGAATATTGATCCACAACCTGCAGCCCAGGAAGCTAACCAATTATCTGTTGCTGCTAGCCCAGGACAGTTCACGTGCTGGCTAATTTTGTCAACTCGACATACAAACTAGAGTTATCTGAAAGGAGGAAACCTCAATTGAGAAAATGCCTCTGTATTTTCTTAATTAGTGATTGACGGGGGAGGGCCCAGCCCATTATGGGTGGAGCCATCCCTGGGCTGGTGGACCTGGAAAGCAGGCTGAGCAAAACATAAGGAGCAAGCCAATGAAGCAGCACCCCTCCATAGCCTCTGCATCAGCTCCTGCTTCTAGGTTCCTGCCCTGTCTTCAGTTCCTGTTCTGGCTCCCTTCAGTGATGGACTACAATGTAGAACTATAAGCCAGATAAACCCTTTCCTCCAAAACTTGCTTCTTGGTCATGGTGTTTTGTCACAGTAATAGAAACCCTAGTTAAGAGGACACTTGCTCAGTCAAGTCAAACATAGGAACGATTGTCTGTAACAACCATTCAACACCCAAAACAATAACCTCTGTAACAACTGTCTCTGAAAGGCCAGGACTCAATAACCCGCAGTTTCTCCAATTTGGGGGTAAAGGATAAATACTGAATTAAGACAGAATCTCATTTAGCCCAGGCTGGATTCAAACTCACTATGTATCTGAGGGTGGCTTTGAACTCCTGGGTCCTTCTGCCACAACCTCTAAAGTACTGGGATTACAGGTTTGAGCTATTACACCTGGGTGAGCTTCCCTGGCTTTTGTCCCCAAACCCAACTATGCATCATGAGGAGAAAGCTAAACCTACCTCTACCCAATTCTAGCCCAACACCAAGGATACCTGCTTCTAGAAAGCCACTAGTAGTTGACCAAGCAGCTGCTCAGACAAAACTCTTAGTTTTGTTCCACTATGAAGCATTCCCAGTCCCTTGCCTGCTCTGGAGCCTGTCACGTGCACATCATGGGGTTGGCTCCCTGCAGGTTACAAGGGCGGGGACCTTCAAGTGTCTCATCTTGGTGGTGGCACACACATATGTACCTCTTAGGTGTGTCTCACACTCCTTCTACCTAGCAGGTCCAGGACATAATCAAAAGAGTTGAGAGACCAGAGAGCAAGGAAGGGGACAGGCATACAAAAGAGCCACACCCAGACACTGAGATTTTTTTCCATAGACCAACCTGCCTGTGGAATCACACTGATTCTATCTGCTCTCTTTGCTCACTCAGGTCTTGCTGTTTTGTTTTCTTTCAAGACATGGTATCTTATTTCCGGCTGGCCAGGTCTTGCTGTTTTGTTTTCTTTCAAGACATGGTATCTTATTTCAGGCTGGCCAGCTGGCCAGCTAGCAGAAAATGATTTTGAACTTCTGATGCTCCTGTCTCTATCCCTGGAGTTCTGGGACCTCAGGCGCATGTCACCACATCTGATTAATGCAGTGCTAGGGATTGAACTGAAGACTCTGCACGTTAGACAAGCAACCTACCAGCTGAACCACAGATACTGAGGACCAGGTCTTGACTCTTCATTTCATAATGAAGGAGTGAGGGCCATGGAATAACAACAAGCAAAGATGATACAACCCTGGGAAGCAGCCAGCCTCCCATAGGGCACCCTCGAGAGCCTGGGGGCAGGCAGGGGACAAGTGGCACAGCAGCTGCTCTGTGAAGAGCCCGAAGATGACACAGGAGTCTCTTGTCAATGCTGCTACCTCCTCCTTCTCCACACACATAAAGCACGGTGTGTATGTGTGTGTGTGTGTGTGTGTGTGTGTGTGTGTGTGTGCATGCACATGTGTGATGTTGAAAGAGAAATCACAACAAAGCCTTGGGCTCAGACCTATCTTTCTAAGAGCCAAATGGGCCTTGGCTCCAGCACCCCCATCCCCACCCCACCCCCCACACTAGCTCCAGGCCATCACAGCCTACAATCCACGGTGTGAAATCCAATTAGCAGAGCTGCCCTTCCCTTTGAAACCCCAAGCTGCAGGATAGAGGAGTCAGGAGCTGGTGGGGGCAGAAAGAAGAGTTCAAACGGCATCCTTCAATAGGCATCCGATCCAATGCTGCCGGCATCAGAGTGAGCGCAGTGTTGCAGCAAGCACAGCGATGCAGGGCGGCACAGCCCTGAGCAGCATTTCTCCCAAGCTGCTGGTGAGGGTCTCCCAAAGCTCTTCCTCCCATCCTCAGCGCCCACACCTCTGCCCAACAGTCTACCCTCCCGCACTTTGTCCTCACCAGTGTCCCTGATCTGGGGTGGTGGTAAGGATGAGCATTCTGGGTTGCAGACTCAGGTCTGGAAGAATGCAGGTGCTGAAGAGATGGAGTAAGGATAAGAAAGCACACAGAATCTCTCCTCTCTGCCCAAGGAAGCCTCAACCCAAGTGCTCTGCCTGGGACCCTGACATCCCTACCACCTCTAGAAAGCAACACCCAGGGCTGAGGACGTGGCTGCGTTGGTAGAGTGCTTACCCAGGGTGATGGAGCCCTGGGTTTGATTGCCAGCACCATATAAGATGGACATATAACCCCAACACTTAGATGATGGAGGCAGAAGGATCATAAGGCTAAAGGTCATTCTCAACTAAATAGAGAGTTGGGTCAGCCAGGCTACATGAGACCTGGTGAGGAGGGTGGAGAAGAAAATTGTGGGCTTAACACTACCAGACCTTTGAGCTAATACTGCTGAGGCAGCCCACTTGGGTCCAAGTTCTGGGACCCAAGTGGCCCTTCCCTCCTTGATTCTCATCTCCTTCCATGAATAGGATGCTAGAGGCCATGCCAATATTTTACAAGCTAAATCTACATTTCAAACGCATCTTACTGGCTTTCATGTTACATAAAACTTGGGAAAATTCTCACAAACTGCTTGTTTCCAGATTCTATTAAATAATCCTCAGGAGCCAGCCATGGTAGTACATGGCTATAATCTCATAGCTATAGCTATAATCTTAAGGAAGATCAAAAGTTCAAGGTCACCTCTGGCTCCATAGTGAGTGTGAGGGCAGCCTCAGCTACAAGAGACCTTGTCTCAAGAAAACCAAACTGGGTGAACAATCAGAAGAATGGACACTACCAGCCCATCTTCTCTTGTGACAACCCAGCTGACAGACTAGTGGAAGGTGGGTGAATCCCCATTACTCCCTACTGCCACATGCTCAACCCAAGTCACTCATTACTCACGTCCTAATCTCTTAGGCATTTGTGCTGATAAGCCCTGAACCTGTGGGTCTCAGTTCTGGCTGTCAGCACTTCGAGGCCTGGGCATTTATTAACACCAAGGCCTAGGTTCACATTCAGATGGTCCAATTTATCTGGGATGGTATTCTGAACAGAAAAGTTCCTAGGATGGTTCTGATTCCAGCCAGGGATAGGAAATACCAGCCTGAAGAGAGCTGCTGGCGAGGACCCACTTCACCTGTGTAAAGAAGCAGATGCCAGGAAAAAAGTGGAAGCGAGAAACCAGCCAGGTAAAAGTATATAGAGGTGCCTCTGGGGAACAAGCTCTGCCATCAGCCCCACCCCTTCCCCGGTCACAGGCCCCAGAGCTTCTCAGATAGAGCTCACTGGGCTCCCTGACCTTCCACTCAGAAGGAGCCACCCAGACTAATCCTGCCTCTGTGCTCATCCGTGTGCACAATGAGGCTCCGCTCTGCTTCCCTTGAGCCTCACACCAGTCTTTCCTATTGGCTGAACCAGGCTTTGCCCATCCACACCTATCCCTGCTTTCTGGTCTGTACTCAATACCCATGGCTCCCTGGGGGAAGCCTGCCCAGCTGAAATCAGGGGTCTAAGATATGCTTGCTCGTTCCGCATGCAGAACCAGCATTTTGTGTTTGTTTCTCTAAACAGAATCATGGACACTTTTCATACCCAAAGCAGAAAGAGAACCCTAGGAGGCAAGACCTACCCTACTCAGGCATCCTGTGCCACTGCCCTCTCCTGCCCTGCCATCCTACTACCTACAAGTGTCTGGGCTACAGTTCTGCTCCACGGGGCACAAGGATGGAGGGAGGGAATACCACAGTACCACACTTTCAGCACCTCCTGCTTAGCCATCCAGAGACACCACTGCAGAGGATCTACAATGTCAACCTGCTGTCCTCCCGCCTAATGCCCTCCAAGGACCATTTCCACTCACTCTGTGTGTACCAGAGAAATAAGCCAATATTGTTGGCACCTGTCAAAACTGCACCGAGAAAGGAACTAGAGAGAGAGAGAGAGAGAGCCACACTAGGGATGAGAAGGGACTCATTCATGTCTCGGCCTTGCTGGTCTGTTCAGATCAAAGAGTCTAGCCAGGATTCACCTTCTCCTCCTCAATCTTAGTTTAGCCAGCTGGACACAGAATTTGATCCAGAGACCCCCAGGCACAGGTCTTTCTTCAAAGCCTACCCTTCCTTTGACTTTACAGGTCTGTTATTCCAGGACTAGGTCTAGGGACAATCCTCAGTTGGGGTAAGACACTGAAGGTCAGCGGCTGGTCATTTTCTTTGCCTGAGCTAACCCATGGCCTACCTCGAAGCTGACTGAAGGTGGTCATGAACTTGCTGGTGAGGGACTTGAGTTCATTGTTGGCCAGTGTGATGAGATGGATCTGGTCAGAGACATTCCTCAGGACCTTGTAGATGCAGATGGGGAAAGAAACAAGCTTGCAGTCGGCCAGGTCTGCAGCAAAAGGACAAAGATCAGAGCTATGAATCACAGCTTCCCAAAAACTTGCCCCAGACCCACACAATTGTATACCAGCTCCCTCTCCTCTCCTGTGTTCTTTCCTGTGCTACACGCCCATCAAGCACTATACCTCACTTGTCCCTTTTTCACATTCTGAACCTTGGGTTTTGTCTCCATCTCTATTATCACAGCCTCCCAGCTGGAATTCAAGAGGCAGAAGAAACTTGAAGTCACAATAATGATGTCCTTCGGGCAGCACTGTTCTGAACTTTCCTTTACAGAACCAATTCTTTTGTAATAAAAGACTTGACAGTGAAGCAACCTCTCAATAGCACTCCACGATCATGCGCGCTGACGCACACAACGCTCAGCCTCTGTGGTTTGAGCATCTTGCCAGGCCTAGATCCAACAAGCAGTGGCAGATCCAACAAGAAGCCGCTGAGCACGACCGGCTAACCACAAAGTCAACGTGTGATTGAGGGATGCCACCGGTCCTAGTGACTATTTCTACTACTACAACAAAACGCCATGACCAAAAAGCAAGTTGTGGAGGAAAGGGTTTATTCAGCTCACACTTCCATATCCCTGTTCATCACTGAAGGAAGTCAGAATAGGAACTCAAGCAGGGCAGGAACCTGGAGGCAGAAGCTGATGCAGAAGCCATGGAGAAGTCCTGCTTACTGGCTTGCTCCTCATGGCTTGCTCATGCTGCTTTCTTATAGAACTGAGGACCACCAGCCCAGGGCTGGCACCACCCACAACAGGCAGGGTCCATTCGATGCCCCTTACTCACTGAGAAATGCCTTACAGGATCTCATGGAAGCCTTTCCTCAGCTGAGGCTCCTTCCTCTCTGATGAGCTTATGTCACACTGACACAAAACCAGCCGGTACACCCTTCCTACATATACACCCAGGAGACACAATTGTCTCTATGCAAACAAACAAAAAAAACACAAAAACATGCAGGTGTGTTCAGCAGCTTTGCTCACAAGGCCTAAAAAGAGAATGACACAACTGGCCACAGCTTGAGAAATGGGTGACACACTCATAAAAAGGAACATTACTCAGCAATAAAAAGAAATGGTATCATAAGAGCTGGAGAGGTAGTGAGGTTGCAGAAGTGTTTGCCTTGCAACTGCAAGGGCCTATGTGGGATTCCCTGGGATCCATGGAGGGGGCAGTTATGGTGATGTGTATTTATGAACTCTGTGCTTCGGAGGTAGAGACAGGCTGGGACCTGGGGCTCACTGGCCAGCCTAGTCACTTCCTGAGTTAAAGGCCAGGGAGAAAAAGAAAAGGCCATCTATAAAGAAAAAAGGAAAAGGAAATGGATGGTAACTGAGAAACAACAGTAGGGATTGCACTGACCTCCATACATATGTCATGTGTACATGGGAACAGGTCCTGTGTCCACAGAGAAATACCGTAATATGGAAGAATCATGAAAACATGGTGCTGAGCCACAGGAGTAAGTCACAAACACCACACATCATACATGACTCCGTGAACATGATTTCACATACATGACATGTACATAAGAGGCAAAGCCACGCAGACAGAAAGTAGACTGAGTACATTAGGCTGCAGGAGAGGGAATCCTTCCTTTTTCCCTTCCTTCCTTCCTTTCTTCCCTCCTTCTATTTTCTTCAGTGTCTGTCTCATGCAGCACACGTAGGCCAGCTTCAAATTCACTATGTGGCCAAGGATGACATTTAACTGTGATTCCCCTGCCTCTGCCTCCTAAGGGTTGGGGATACAGGTGTGCCTTACCACGTCCAGTTTTACAATGTATTGGGGCTGAACCCAGTGTTCTACATTGTTATACATGCTGGGTAAGCCCTACCCACTTAGCCACATATCCAGCCTCAGGCGGGTCACTTCACATGGATGAACAAGTATGGTACATGAATTAGGTCTCCATAAAACTGTGTGCACACAGAAAGGAACACAGAAAGCATGGAGGCTATGATATTAGGCACTTAAGCTCCCTGAACCTCAGTTTCCTCATCCACTATATAAAATAGTAGCAGTGGTATTTGACTAGCAGGTGCCAAGAAGACGAACTGTGATAAAAACATAATTCACAAAGGGCCTGGGAGAATCAGACAGCATGTTACAGTGGTATTTCTTCTCCCCACCCCGTTCCCTCTTCTCTCTGTTCAAACCCTTCATATGCTTCAAGGCTGGCTCCCTTCAGACCTCTTAGAATCTTCCTGGAGCTTCCTTATTGCTGGCGATTGCCTTCTGAGCCCTCAGAGCCCTTGCTGACAGTGGCAGCAACACCCCATCCGCCTCTTCTCCACAGAAGCCTGGCTCTCTTAGGTTGCTGTGCATTTGCAGATGGTTCCAGAGTAAATATGCAAGTGCAACAATAACCCCGCCATGCCAGCCATGAAATATGGGTTTCCACTTGTTGTTGTCTGTCTGTGGTAGGAGACTGGAGTTGAACCTAGGGCCTTCGGCTTACTAGGCAAATGCTCTACCACTGTGCTGTATTTCCAGAAAGGGAAAAAAAAAAATGTGTCTCTTAAAGATCCTATTCCTAGAAGTAACAATAATACAAAGCACATGGACATGATCATATAATAATCATGATTATTCACCATATAATCACTGGAGCCTTCTCAAGCTACTGCCCCATGGAATCACTGCTTTTGCTCCAAGACCCAGAGCTTCACGGCAACTGTTCGTTCAGCCAGCCTCATGCAGTGTCATGGAGACAGCTTATTCTTAGGTTTTATTAGCCCCTTTCTTGTGGGCAAGTGAACCATGCAGCAGGGGGAATCAGGCTGGAGCTAGAGCGAGGGCCAGATGTGTCCAAACCCTAAAAATCTCCATCTTGAGACTGGCAGGAATAAGAGGAATAAGGATCGCCCTCTCCCTGTTCAGTGTCTGCATACCCTGGTGCAACCCTCATCTCCACCATCCTTGAGGCAGTCACGTCACCTGATGACCAGGACATGTCCAGCTAGCACCTGAAATTCCTCTCATGCAAATGAAGCATCCTTGGCACCTTAGCCCCAGCCAATGATGTACACTCACTAGAAAACCCCTACCCACTTCCCCAAGGTTTATATAGCCCTTATCTGCCCCCCCCCCCAATAAAGAGCTGTTTTATCACTGGAAGGACCGGAGTCCAGCATTTGTATGCATAGGTGCCTGGATGCCCCGAAGGGAAGAAGCAGACCTTGGACTCCAGAACAACACTTTCTGCATCTGTTTTAAGATACAGTTAGAATAGATTTTATGTGAAGACAATATATTTGTTGATTACAAGGTAAAATGCTTAAATGGTGCTGCTATTTATTTATTTATCTACCTATTTTATTTATCTATCTATTTATTTATTTTAGGTTTTTTAAGGCAGGGTTTCTCTGGGTAACAGCCCTGGTTGTCCTAGACTCACTTTGTAGATCAGATTGGCCTTGAACTCACAGAGATTCGCCTGCCTCTGCCTGGAATTAAAGGTGTGGGCCACTTCACCTAGCCTGGTACTGCTTTTTAAAAAGAGATTTTATTCTAAGTTATGCACTCATTCGTGTCTTTGTGAATATACATGCATGTATGTGCAGGTATCTGAGGAGAACAGAAGAGGGAGTTACAGGCAGTTGTAACCCACCTAACCTGGTATTGGGCCCTCTGGAAGAACAGGAAGGGTGCTTAATCATTCATTTCAGTCCCGTGTTACCTTTGTTTGTTTGTTTTTGAAACAGGCCCTTTCTGTGTTGCCCTGGTTGTCCTGGAACTTACTCTGTAGAACAGGCTGGCCTTGAACTCAGATATTTGCCTTCCTATGCCTCCCAAGTGCTGGGATTAAAGGCATTCACCACCACTGATCAGCTCCCTGTTAACAGTTTTAATAAAATAACTACTATGTTTTCTACACAAATCACATCTCTCAGTGAATAAACAGAATGATCTGAAAACTAAGGCAGCGTCATAGTCACTATCAGAAGTCACATTAATAAGAGCACAAAAGGACAAACATCTGTTAGAAGTTGGTCTGATGCTTGTATATTGTTGCCCGGATATACCTATCTGTGTGTAAACCTGCCTAAGACTTACCTGATTTGTTGATTAAATGGCCAATACGTGGGCAGGGCAGAATGGGGTAGGTGAGGCTGATGTTTTTGAGGACAGGAAAATCACAGCAAACAGATGGACAGGAAGAGAGAAGGAAGGAGGACGCCATGATGGGTTAGCATGGAGAAGAATCATGTGGGCCTGCAGGAAGGACTCCAATAATATCGAGGAGAGGTCCAGATGAAAAATATAAGCAAATATATTGGAATTATGGATGGAAGGTAGAACAGCTGAGGAGGATTAAGGCAGATAGCATGGATGGGGGCTGGGAGATGGATGGTTAGTTTATTGAGACAGTGGAGGTAAAATATCTGCCCAGCCTAAGGTAAATAAGGCAATTATAAAGTCTAACAGGTGTCTATGTCTTATTATTTGTGACAGTGGGTTAGATAATACACCATGATAATCTTGGGCTAATCTAGGGCTGATAATAAACATTATATAGCCCAACACTCATTTTTACTTACTACTACAAACATCATAGAAAGAAAATACTAAGCCCAGAAGGTTTAAGCCAGAAGAACAGATGTCATAATTTGATAATGCCTCACACATGAATCAGGGAAGGGAAGTGTCTTGGGAAAAGCAAAAAAGACTCACCTAAGACTCAAAATTTTTATCTCCAATAGAAAAATCAGAAGTAATCAGTTATTACCTATGTGACCTCTTAGGTGAAGTTATCTTCCCAAACGTAGGGAGCATGTAAGAAAGGAACAGGGACAAGAAACAGGGCAGGAACTGTGTATAAGATAGACCATTGAACATTTTTAAAAAGAAAGAAGGCAGGGGCTGACAAAATGGCTCAGTGGCTAATGGTGCCCTGCTGCCCTTCCAGAGGACCCAAGTTCAATTCCCCTCACCTACATCAGGCACCCACTCAAAACTACTTGTAATGCCAGCTCCAAGACAT